AAAAAAAAACATATATGTATTTTTAACTAATTAAAATTAATTATACAAAATTAGCCAATCAGAATTAATTATATAAGTAACAAAATTGGCATTTTTATATATTGATTGAATGTCTTTGACTGTTCTGCACTGTATTTATTATTAGTTATTAGTCATTAGTAAGTTGATAGTTATATTATATAGTAGATAGATAAAAGGATCTTAATTTGCTATTAGAAATATAATATAGCTACATGACACTAAGTAACATCTGTAATGTTACTATTGTTTTACAAACTCCAACTATCTTTGTACAAGTTTTATATATCTTAGCATCAAATTACTATGCCAAGTACTACAGTACAAGAATCTCAAGTATTTCTGACATAAATTCCAAGTGCTTCTGCATGAACTTCAAGTATCTCTGCACAAATCCCAATTGCTTTTGTACAGATCCAAGTGTCTAAACACAAGCTTCAAGTGTTTCAAACACAAATAACAAATGATATAAACAATATCTCTAGTTGTCTTTACACAGTCTCTACTACCCTAAGCATAGTATTATTTAAGGTTGTTTGAATCTTCACTATCTCAAATACAATAATATTTAATGTTGTTTAAACTCTTATTATCTCAAGTACAGTATTAAGTAATATTGTTTGAATTTCCACTATTTCTGCTAAGTAAAAAAAGATATATAAAAAGTACTTTTTATCCTTTCTTGCCAATTTTAAGTTTTTATACTTCAACCTAGACCTTTCGATTTTTACTTCTAACTTGTAAAAATGATATTTCTTCTTTAGGTTAATTCCTATAGGCAAGATTATTACTATATATTTATTTAATAAAAGTTAATCTATATACTGTTACTATTTTAAACCATTTTTCTGCTGCTGTATAATAAAGTAAACTACTATACCTTCACTCTGTATATATTTGCAATAGTTAATTACTATATAGGATAACCTTGTTATTTAGTTGTATTATACCAAAAAGACTACAATTCTGTAACAGTACCTATAACATGTTTATTGAACAAACATCTACTAGAAGTACTGCAGAATTGTTTAAGAATATTAAGACAATTGCTGATAGAGTAGGTCATATAAAAATCAATAATATTTTGGCATTTTTTGTGAAACAGTTAAATACCAAATATCTTTTATTACAAGAAGATATAAAAGATCTTGTTTTTATAAAAACAAAGAGAAGACCAAATAGTACTAAATGTAAAAAAACAGATGCTGAGCATGCTACTAAAAAAATATATATATGTAGTATTTGTAGCAATGCAGGACATAATTTTAAGAATTGTCTATGCAAATAACTAGTTTTTTCAAATCTTATATTTCATGTATACTATTTAAGTTTTTTATATTATATTTTCTTTAAATACTGTTATATGTTTATCTCAATTTATTTAATATTAATACTTGTTTAGCAAATAAGTAGTTTTTTTTTTTTTTGTATAAACAAAATTCTTAAATTAATCTAAGACAATATTTTTGCATTATTGAATATTTTAATTAAGATTAGCATTAAAATTAGATCTTAGTTTATAGCAAATAAAATTTCATAAATTGAATAGTAAATTTGTAAATGACTTTATAAACAAAGCCTTAAAACAAAACTGTTCTTTTTTTAAATAAAAACTCAAAATTTTAGTGTATCTAAAATTAGAATACATATATAAAAATAGCTTTATATGTATATATATATATTAAATTAACTAAAAACACAAATCAGTAGGGGTGTGGTGACCTAGTGAAGTGAATAGGTTGTCAACCTCCAAGTGGCAGGTCTAGAGTTCAAATCCTAGTGACGGCGAAAATTTGCAATTCTTTCTGTGTTATGGCTAACTGTTTTCTGTGATTGGTTAGGATAGGATACCTGTAATTCATATCATACCAGCCTGACTGGAAGGTCTAGGGCACTTGTACAACATTGTACGAGGGAACACAAACTGGTACCAGGCAGTAGGGGCCTGCAAATTGCCTATTTTTGAGGCCCGGCCTGGCCCGCAATTAGGGTTAAAAATTTTTTTTAGACCCGGGCCGGCCCGCATTTAGGGTTACTATTTTTTTGCCGGCCCGGCCTGGCCCGCATATGTTAAATTTTTTCTTCAGCCTGGCCTGACCTGGCCCAGCCCGCAAAAATTTCTTATATAATTTTACAAATTTTCAGGCCCGCACTGGTCCGCAATTATAAAGTTTTGCAAATTT